CCATACCAGTTAAGTCTTTTGGCTTCGATTGTGTCTATTATGTCTAGATCGATTTCCATTTCTCTCCGAATGTCTTCGTTTCTCACCCTATCAAGTCTAGTGAAATGGCAACATCGTCTCCAGTAGTTCATTTCCATGGCCTTAATTTTTGATTTGTTTCTTTGGTTTATTTCCCAGAGTTCGGCGCCATACAGTCCAATACTTTCTATTATTGTTTTATAAATTCTTCTTTTATTTTCTTTTGTTATTTTTTTATTCCATAATAGTCCGTGTAGCTGTCTGGTGGCTGATCTTGCTTGGCCAATCCTGGAATGTATTTCTTCGCTACTTCCTGCTTTTGATGTTATTTGGACTCCCAAGTACTTAAAATTGTCTGTTGGTTTTATAGTTCCCATTTCGATTTGTAGGCTTTCTGGTTTTTCTCCTACAACTAAGTACTCAGTTTTTTGTATATTAATTCTGCGTTTAATTTAAAAAAATTAAACGCAAAATAAAAGATTACATTATTATCAAGGACTGAAAGTCTCTGAAAACTTCTATAATGTTTATTTTAGTAAGTTACGGGGGTGAAAAAGAAGAGAAAATTAAGTGTAATTTTTAATTTCAAATATAATATCATTCAAAATCAATTTTTAATTTATTATAAGAAACTTTCGGCCATCGGTAATAATGTAATCTTTCATTCTGCGTTCAAAATTTTTTAAAAATATGTATTGGTTTTTTTAGAATTAAAAAAAAAATAAATGCATTTAAAAAACATAGGCCCGAAATTTTGCGCGTACGCTCTTAATGACAGCCAAATCTCATGCCACTGCAAAGTCAATCACACTATTTCCTTCATAATTCCTAAACTGCTTTTTAATGACCAAAAATGGTAAACACATATATATTTATCCGATTTTAATAAATTTTTACTAGTTAAATGATATCCCAGTAATCCATAACTGGGGCCCTTACTAATAAAATGATTAAATTTTCAGATTGATTCGGTAACTCTCTACACAAAAAATGTTTTTCCGACTTTTCATTCATTTTCTGACACAACTGGACATTGTTCTGATGAGATGATCGATATCCTGTTAGGGTATCTCATTACAGGTTACTTCAACTTTGTGAGTAAGAGCTGCTTAAGTCTGTGGAAGATGTTTCAAATTCACAATACCTAGAAATGTCTAATTAGAGAAAAATCAGGTGATAGTTCTGGCCAAGGTACCTAAATGATTATTGTGATGTAAATCTATAAATTGTTGCTAAAAAATTGAGTTTTGGATGGTGTTTAAGTATGAAATAAGATGAGGCTCTACTAATTACTGAATATAGCGTCGTGCTATCTTGACGCTGGTAAAAATTAGCAGTGATTTGCTACCATAAGCAATAGCACTCCATACCATAACTCCTACGGTGAGGAATTATTACTTTTGCCCAACCATTGTGCATCCCCAGACAGAAGCAGAATTCCTCACTAAAGACCATTTGATTCCATTTTCGGTCCAATACAATTATTTTTCTACTCCAAAGTAAACAGTTACGCCGATGTTCAGCAGTGAGAGGTAGCATCCAATGTGAGCTATTTTTTCTTGAGTGAGTCTTAATCAGAGATCTTGTCGCTCTGTGGTCGCTCTGTGACGTACAGAACCCCTCGCTCGACGTCATTAGCCTTCATTCTCGAGTCCACGTTTGTTCACACTGTAGTATACTGAGTAAGGCTCTGTTAGTCTTCCGCGCAACCCAACAATTCCACCCATCTTAAAGTCACTCCTGTGACACCCGATGGATTCTACATACTCTAGGCCTTTTGAGCAATAAAAAAAATTTCGCAATCAGCTACACGAATTTTTAAATTTAACGGACACCATTAATTTACGAAAGGCGAATGCTTTTTTATGATCAAACAATTCACACAGCCACCACAAAAACTTGTTCTTTGTGACAATATAAGTCGATATGTAAAAAATAATGAATTCTAATAAACATATGTAAGTTCTGAAACTGTTTTGTTGTGGCTTGTCTATGTTAAATACTATGTCTATATGAGAATAAGCTACAATTAATTGTAATGACAATTACATTTCACCTAAAAATTTGACGTTGCGATTTCCACTCCGGAATCATTCTCACCAAAAGATTATTAAATAATTTTGTTAGAAAACAGTATTGCCTATAACACCGTGGCTAAAAGTGAATAAACCTCCAATTTTGTGACACGACATTAACTTGTCAACAGTCTTGGCGGTTATACACCATATTTCAACAAAATTATTTAACAATCTTTTCTTAAGAACGATTTACGGAGTGAAAATTAAAACGTCGAATTTTTAGATAAAATGTATTTATTATTACAATGAATTGTGGCTTAATCCCATACGTAGGTGTTTACCGTTTTTGTAACTCAGTACCTATATTATATCGGTATAATCACAAATTCAATACACTCTTTCAAAAGGGAGAAATTCGCACAGAAAAGTGGACACAATCATTCTAAAACAAACATTTCATCAAAATAAAAGAAGCTAATATATAAGTGTATGATGATGTAAGTACACTTCCCGTCATATAAAACTGGTACACTTTTTTTCCCAATGTAAACCTGCGTTCAGACTGGACACAATGGTTCGTGAATCAATTCGTTGTTGCCATTACAGATAACGGAATTTCAGTAAATTTAAATAAAACGTAAAACGTAAAAAATAACGTTCAAAAATATATGTTTTTAGATATTATTAAGGTATTATTTTTATCATTAACAACGAAAAACCTTATCTAATAATTTTAATAACCAGAAAGAGGATTGAGTTAATGTCCAAAATATTGAACGATATTTAAACTTGGGGTATTGGCACAGGGAACATTAGAATGCATCTACTGTAATTTTATACTTCAATTACTTATAGAACACAAACTGTTAACTGTATTTTATGTCAATCAGTTTAGTAACAGGCACTACCTAAATTTATTTATTATTTATTACATGAACGATAAATGTGAAAAACTAACATTATACTTTATCTTACGTAGAATATAAACTATAAAATATCCGGGGCGAAAAACGCTTTTCAAAACGTGGCAGTGTTTCATTATCCTCTTATATCTGTAAAAAATCCTCTTATAACTGAAAAATGCTGGTTTAGTATCTTCAGATGTTATCAGTGCGTGAAAACGTCCCAAACATATCCGAACAATTAAACATAAAAATTAAACATAAAAAATATTGCTTGCCATCTTGCCATATTGATTTGACAAGTTTGTCAATGTGAATTTTTAAAGATGCCACGTCAGTTAAGTCAGTTTGATAAAACGAGAATAATTTTAAAAATAGAAGATGGTTGGTCTATTCGACAACTGGCTCAAGACCTAAATAGAAGCAAAACCTCAATCCACAACATTAAAAAAAGATGGGAAAACGAGCAGACTTTGGATAGAAGAAGAGGGAGTGGGAGACCAGTTATTACTACAGCCCAACAAACTGAAACATTAACTAATTATTTAAGAGCGTATCCCTTCCATACGACAAGGCAAGCAAAAGTTAATACAAACTTTAATGCTTCTATAACTACAGCATTAAGGAGAATTAGAAGAACAGATTTAAAAAATTATGCAGCCGCCCGAAAATACAAACTTAGCGAGGAACATAAACAAAGTAGACTATTTGCTTTAAATTACGTTTTAAATGATCCAGTCAATTTTTGGGACCGTGTAATTTTTACTGATGAAAAAGTATTCTAGTCTCATTATAATGGCCATATTAGGGTTTATAGACCGCCTCGAAATAGGTTTAACAAAAACTATATTTCATCAAGTGATAAGTCCGGACGGTTCTCTATAAATGTTTGGGCTAGGATGTATAGAGGAGGTTTAGAAATGTGTTGGAGAATTGAAGGACGATTTAATACTGAAACCTATTTACATATATTAGATAATGTGATGTTGCCGTCGGTTACGGAAATTTTTCCCAACAATAATTTTATTTTCCAGCATGATAACTGTTCAATCCACACAGCCCACCGTGTACGGGATTACCTTATGGAAAATAGCATTGAAGCTCTTCCATGGCCCTCTAAAAGTCCAGATATTAATCCAATAGGGAGTGTTTGGGGACTTATGATCAACAAAATACAAAAAATAAATGTAGTGCCCCAAAACAGAGATCATTTATGGACCATCATTGAAGAAACCTGGGAAAGCTTGGCCGAAGATGAAAATTTGTCACTAAATTTAATTAACTCAGTTCCCAGAAGATTACAAGAAGTGATTAATAATAATGGAGCTATGACAAAATATGAACTTTTCGAATTGTAATACATATATTTAAATTCCACACTTGTTCACTGTAAAAATTATTCATTTTTTATTAATTTCAAATTAAGTTTTAATTTTTTCTAGGTAGTTTTATTTACTGTAGTATTCCACAACTCAATACAGTTTTGTGCTACACTTTACGAGAAACCAATCACACCTCTCGATTTGAAATTAGACATAAATTTAAAGTCATGTCTAGATTTATTATCTATCATTATTTTTGAATTGAAATATTTTTATAAATTATAATAAAACACGAATCAATGTATGGGTACTGAGAGAATGGAAAATTTCAAAATTAATAGAATTTTTTAAGATGTATGTTTAAAGAAATGTATAAATATAAATGTGACTGACTGATCGAGAATGCTCGATATTGTTTTAGTTTTTAGTAAACTAAAAACTTGCGACCTGTCGCACAGCTCTGCTTTTAGCTGGTTTGATATATTATTTTCGTTGAACTGGCATCGTTGCCTTCGAAATTAGAATGACACATGTGACAAGCTCAACTTACACAACTTGAAAAACACGATTTTCGGTTATAAGAGTTGTACTAGTTTTTTATGACGGGAACGGTACATGTAAGATCTGCAACGTACTAGACAATGACAAGTAACAGTAGAGAATGCTTAGTCGTTAAAAATGATTTACGAAATAGTATAGTAGTAATATTTAATGTTAATAGTTAAATAATAAATAGATACCTTATCAGGGGTGTTTAGAAGTTCAGTCATGACTTGAACGAAGGCATCTATGGTCATATGTCGCGCTGCATACTCGTCTGTATAATAGCACAATGTGGTGAATTCGGGGCGACTAAGTAGGATTCTCGCTTTTTCTTCCACCATTTGCAGCGCCGCCGCCCATTTCCGAGTTGTTTGCGCAGCTCTACTTCTGCAAGATAATAACAAAATTAAAAATAAACCTAAATAAATCTGTGTATGGAAATGAAATATTTTAAGAGAAACTGCAACAAATTGTTTTTTGGACATTTATGTATTTTTGAAAAAAAAAATGGAAAAAATTTCTGTTCTGTCAAAAATTCCTTTATTTTTTTAATGATGTTAGTCCAGAAAAATAAGGTAAAAAAGTATTATGTTGGGGACTTCGACCTCGCCAGATATCTGATAAGTATATTTGACAACATAAGAGAAAAAAAAATAACTTACAATGTTTCTATGAGTAGCATACTCAAAAGAGTCCATTTCCAAAATTGCAAAACGTGATTTAAAACACAATTATAAATAATTTAAATAACTTTTTTGCTATCGATAAAATTTTCCTGGATCGAAGTTTAAAAAAAGTTGTCCTGCTATTATTCTCGATGAAGTTAGTTCCTTTTTTCAACTCGGCGATATCGAAAAATTAAATATAAAATTAAAACTCGAACTTCAACAGCTACAACATAATTCCGTTACTTGATTGTTATAATTTGTATGTAATTTTTGCGTAAATTATGAGTATCTTCTTCTTTGGGTGCCGTCTTTTTAGCGAAGGTTGGCGATGACCTCTACAAAGTCTTCCCTATTTTGGGCTTTCCTTATTAAACTTTGAAAGTCTAATCCTGTCCAATCTTTGATGTTGCGCAGCCAGGTCATTTGTCGTCTACCTGGGCCGCGTCTGCCTTCTATTTTCCCTTCTATAATAAGATAAAGGAAGTTATACCTGTCGTGTCTAAATATGTGTCCAAGATTAGACGTTTTACTCTTCTTGACAATTTCTGTGAGTTCACGTTCTCCATCATACGCCATAAAACTTCTTCATTGCTAATACGGTCGGTCCATGGAATTTTCAGCATATGACGAAATATCCACATCTACAAGCTCTCTAAACGTCATAACGAGCTGACTGTTAACATCCAAGCTTTCACGCCGTGTAATAGTATACTATATACATAACACTTTATTATGCGGTATCGTAGGGACAAATCAAGACTACGGGTAGTGAGTAACTGTCGCGTATTTAAGAAGGTGTTTCTTGCCTGTTCTATTTTACATTTAACCTCTTTTTTTGGCTTAAGGATTCATGTATCCAACAGCCTAGATACTTAAACTTTTTCACTTGCTCAACTAAATTGTGTTATCTGAATTATGAGCATGCCATTCGTTAAAAAATTTAGTAATAAATTAATTTTGTAAATTGTAACCTTTATACAACAAATCAGTGGATCAACATTTAAAAATCGTAATGTAATGAGGACGTACGCTGACCTAGTGAAATTGGCAATGTAATCAAAAGCTTATTAAATAATGTTTACAAACTAAACAAGTAAAAACAATAATACACGCACGTGGGTTAAATATCTGGAAATTACGGGGATAGGATTATTAATAAGAATGTAAGAAAATGGTCGAAGTTAGTATTGTCATCCGTCAACTGGGTACTCTCTATTATTGTGCTTAGGGAACTAATAAAGGAATTATGAGTGTCTAGTGGACTCGAGTAATTAACCACCTGCAGGGGGTATACTACCGCTAGAGTTCCACTATATGGAACTCTTGATGGAAGCAATCCAATAAATGTATAAGAATATTAAAGATTATTATAGCCATTTAAAGGTGTAAACATTATCAAAAGCTTTACTTTTTACTGTTAGACGAAAGTTTTTAAAATGTGCATTTTTGACATTAAATTTTTAATAATTTAAAAAGTTTACCGAATGCACTGCAGAAAACATACATCTTTGGGTTATCGACACCTAAAAAAATCAAAAACAATTTTCAGATACGTAGCCGGGTCAGAGTCAGTGGAGTGCCTTATTTCTCTGGATAATTTATCAGTAATAAAAAATAGGTTTTTAAATTTTAAACAGATAAAATATTGTCTCTATGCTATTAGTTTTATTTAGTTTTCTGCTCTAATACACGTTTAAAGATTAAAGTCCTATTTTAATATAAATTTTAAAGTTTTATGTTAGTATTAAATGTAACAATTCTTACCCTGGACTACAAAGGTCCCAGTCTCTATCATAGGCAGTGCAAGAATGTGGGACCTTACCGACGTCCCTCACCACTAAGGACATACGCTTGTGGTATTTAAGTTGAGCTACAGCCTCATCATGGGTAACATCCATAAATGATTGGCCGTTTACCTCCAGGATCTGATCGCCAACCTGTAATGGAACAAATTATTTAGAATAACCTTATATAATTTGAAGATTCTGGACATTATAAATTGGCAAATTAATGTAATCGATCTATATAAAAGGCTAGGACGACAAGTCGCACTGTTTTTTGGTACAGTAACAACGCCACTTCGAAAAGAAATCTGAACCAGCCACTACATTTCAATTTACGAACTCAATCATATTTTTTTTAACGATACGTTTAATTAATAATACTAATAATATTAATACAGAGTAGCCCAAAAGTCTGGAAACGGCTAATTATCTCGTAAAATGCTAATCATAATTGTACAAAATTTGAGGTACTCCTATTTTGGGATACGGAGATTCCATATTTGATCATTACAATGTTGCCAGATTTGCCGTTTTTCTTATATTATTAGTAACTTTGGTTTTTCAAATACATCACCCTGTATATTCAGTCATTATTGGAGTCTCCTATTAAATACGAGTTCAACCATATGTAACACTTATGATTTTATGTCGTCTGGAATGTCTTAAATACATAAAACAGAAGTCTGGCAACGCCTAAATTGTATCAATACATTTTTTAATACTAACTATTTTCAAATACATTAAAACGTAACAACTGATAGTTTAGAATATTTTTTAACATAATAGTTACGTTATTAAGTGTTTAAAATGTGCTCCATTTGTGAGTTGACAGCACTCTAGTCGATGGTAGAATGCGTCTACCACATTTCTCCATGATTGTCTAGAAATTATTCGAGATTCATCGATAATTCATTGCCTTAGCTATGCAAGCCTTGCTGGTTAAGTTTTGTAACCTGAATTTTTCAAGTATTCCTAATAAAAATAATCTTTAGGATTGAAATCGGGTGAACGTGGAGGCCATTCAATACTACCTTGTCTACCAATTTATCGTCCAGGAAATATCTCATCTAAAAATCGCCGAACATTTACACCAACTATCTGACGTTAAATTTCTTTCGACAAAAAATGACCCAATTGAATAAGTAACTACTATATCTGACCATACATTTAATTTTTATGGTCTTTGAGTATGGTTTTCACGCATTCAGTCTTCAGTGTGAATTTACGTCACACCAGTTACGTTACCTTAAATTCTGTCGGTTTACACTTCCACACAGTGTAAAAGTTGCTTCATCAAAAAAACATATTCTGTTAACAAAATTTTAATAATTTTCAATTTTATCCATCATTACCTCAGTAAACTCTAATCTACGACCAAAGTCATCTTCACTTAATTCTTGCAATAAGTTAATTTTGTATGATTTAAATTTATTTTTACGTAATAAACGCAAGACTGAAGAATGACCTACATCATGTACTTGTGCAACCCTGCCTGGGGATGTATGTGGATCTTCAACAAAACTTTGCTTATACCTATCTGAAGTTTTGTTGTCATTGATAACTCGTTTCGGTCAACCTGATCGGTATCTATCTTTTACTTCTCCAGATTCCTCAAATTGCCAGTTTTCTGTACCGTCGTCTTATGAATAGGAGAACGGTTTAGAGAACGGCATTTTAAAGAAGAAATTTAAGTTGCAGAACTTTATGAACCACAAATACTGTCAATTTTAGTTCATAATTTAAATAGTGAACAAATGTCAAAATCACAGCATTCTCCATTTAAATATTTAAAATTATTAAAATCTACATATTTTGCACTGTTTTATGTATTTAAGGTCTTTCACACTACATAAAATCAAGTGAACATATGGTTGAACTCGTATTGAATAGCTGAACTCGTGTGAAATTTACACTGAATGCGTGAAAACCATACTCAAAGACCACAAAAATTAAATGTATGGTCAGTTATAGTACATTGATACTTATTTAATTGGACCATTTTTTATCGAAAGAAATTTAACGTCAGATAGGTGGTGTAAATGTTCGGCGTTATTTAGATGAGATATTTCCCGGACGATAAATTGGTAGACAAGGTAGAATTGAATGGCCTTCACGTTCACCCGATCTCAATCCTAAAGATTATTTTTATTAGGGATACTTGAAAAATTCAGTTTACAAAACTTAACCAGCAAGGCTTGCATAGCTAAGGCAATGAATTATCGATGAATCTCGAATAATTTCTAGACAATCATGGAGAAATGTGGTAGACGCATTCTACCATCGATTAGAGTGCTGTCAACTCACAAATGGAGCACATTTTGAACACTTAATAACGTAACTATTATGTTAAAAAATATTCTAAACTATCAATTGTTACGTTTTAATGTATTTGAAAATAGTTAGTATTAAAAAATGTATTGAAACAATTTAGGCGTTGCCAGACTTCTGTTTTATGTATTTAAGACCTTCCAGACTACATAAAATCATAAGGGCGAGCGCCCACCAAAGTGGCGTGGCAGTGGCAAGTAGCAAGTAGCACGCGTCTAGCATAATGTAACCAATGAAAACGAATGATTCAGTTTACACCAAAATGACAGTGACGTCATTCATTCTAACCATTCGTTTGGATTGGTTACATTATGCTAGACGCGTGCTACTTGCTGCTTGCCACTGCCACGCCACTTTGGTGGGCGCTCGCCCTAAGTGTTACATATGGTGAAACTCGTATTTAATAGGAGATTCCAATAATGACTGAATATACAGGGTGATGCATTTGACAAACCTAAGTTACTAGTAAATACGAGAAACTGAAAACGTGGCAAGATTGCAAATACCAAATATGGAATCTCCGTATCCCAAAATAGGCGTATCTCAAATTTTGTATAATTATGTCTAGTAATTTTCGAGATAATTAGCCCTTTCCAGACTTTTGGGCCACTCTGTATAATTAATAATATGATTAATTAAAAAAATAAGCAAAACACCTAGCGCCACCTAGGGAAAAAATCTAAAGTACCAACTAACTTGAATAAACTTATCTGAAAAAATACTGTTGAAAGGTATATATGTCTGTAATTCTTGATTGACGGAAGAAAAAAATTATTTAACATGTGCATGTAGCGAGAACGTAGTTTACTGTTACTGCATGCCCATCCCCGTCCTAAAAAAATAAAATAAGGTCTGATGATCCCTTACAAACAAATTGCACACCACACAGATACATTTTCTGAATATAGTGGTCTTTTGTGTAAGTGCCGCGGATTATCATTGATCAATAGCGGAAATTTTCTCAGAAATTAGATGAAAGTGAGCTTCATCAATCATACAAAGATTATACAGCAAGTTATCGTTTTTATTAATACGCTTCAACTAATCTCGAAAGTTAAATGCTTGCACAATCTAGATTTTGTATGAATGATACTAGAGATTTTTACGCAAAATTCTTCGCACTGCTCTATTACTCTATGGTGTGCGAGTAGTTCTGACACTACTACCTATTTTCTGTAAAGTTAAACCACTACTTTCAAAGTAACCCAAGTCTGAATAGCCTTCTTAAGTGGAACTGGAGCGTGGGGCGACAAATGAGACGCTCGTTGTACACGCAAAAAATTTTCACCATTTTTGTAATAAGTTTTCACAGCAAATGCACGTTATTCACCTGACCACTTGTCCATGACAACTAAACTTCCCATTCTCTCTAGATTCACAACGTTACCAAATCATTCCGTTTTACTGAATCACCTATTATAACCTAAATATTGTTGTTTATTGTGGGTCAGAGATATGGATCCGGTATTATAAGATGGAATGAAAACTAGTAGTATGATGTTTAATGTTTATAAAATTAGTGCGGGAATATATAATTTGGGGCAGAATCGATCATTTTAATTTTTGTTTTGTAATGATTTAATGCTACATATGATCAATGAACGGCTAAAGAACTTTCTACTTCCAGAGATAGCCGAAGAACAATGTGGATTTTTATCAGGAAAGGGAACGCGTGAGCAAATACTCAACACCAGACAGATAGTAGAAAAAGCGAGAGAACATAACATACCAATGTTGCTCTGTTTTGTAGATTACACAAAGGCTTTTGATTCAGTAAAATGGGATCCTCTCTGGAGTATAATGGAAAATATGGGAGTACCTAACCACCTAGTTAACCTAATAAGAAATCTGTATAATAAAAACTCAGCCAAAGTTAAAGTACATGGAATATATTCAAATGCATTCAAAACAGAGAAAGGAACTAGACAAGGTTGCATACTATCACCATTATTGTACAACATATATTCTGAATATATAATGAGAAAAGTACTAGATGAATGGGATGGAGGAATCACTATAGGAGGCAGAAAAATCAGTAACCTGCGATACGCAGATGACACACTTATACTAGTAGCGAATAAAGTCGAAATGATTACCATCATCGAACGGCTAAGCCGAATAAGTGAAGAATTCGGACTTCAAATCAACACCGGAAAAACAAAAATAATGATTGTAGACAGAGCAAATAATAATCTACCGCATATACGCCAAATAGGGATTTTCGAAGTAGTCGACAGATTTGTATACTTGGGCTCTCTGATAAGCAACAATGGTGATTGTTCCTCAGAAATCAAACGTAGACTAGGAATGGCCCGAACCGCAACTGCTAAATTAGGTAAAATATGGAAAGACCGAACAATAACAAGGAATACTAAGCTCAGATTGGTCAATGCCCTTATTTTTCCCATTGCTACATATGCAGCTGAAACATGGACTCTCAAAAAAATCGATAGGAGGAAGATCGAAGCCTTTGAAATGTGGGTATATAGAAGAATTCTACGCGTGTCCTAGACAGAACATAGAACCAACCTGTCAATTCTGGAAGAGCTTCATATAAAAGACAGGCTACAAAAAAAGTAAACCAAGCATACCTAACTTACTTCGGCCACATAGCTAGAAGAACGGGCTCCATGGAACTATTGGTAGTAGAAGGAAAGGTAGAAGGCCGAAGACCAAGAGGAAGATCTCCAATACGATGGGTAGACCAAATGAAAAATTTGGTTAGAAAATCCCTACATGAAGCCGTCCATATGGCACAAGATCGCAGTCAATGGAGACAGCAGACTAACAATATTTAGGGTGTCACTACGCCCTGACAACGGCTA